TTTTGTAGGAGAAACTGAACCTTGAAATTTAATAAAATCAGCTTAAATGTCCTAAAATTGCATGTCTATGTACCATGTATGTGCTTACCAAGTCAAGCATGAAGTGGAAAAAATAGAATTATGAAAGTACTAAAACTTTAAACCATTTATCAAATATTATCCCTTATCTTTATTAACAAGAAGTTTGGAATGGGGTAAAGCAAAAGTCTTTTCTTTATCATTGATCAAACTCAAAACTCACAATATTTCAAGCTCACAACTTTGGAATACCTTAATTGTAATAACAGCTGTATAATCAATTTAGACCTACTAATAATATTATAAAAATATGAAGACTAAATTATACCAAATAAGGGAAATTGAATCTCGAATTTCTGCATAATAGAGGGACTAAAATCAAAATTAGACCACTTAAGAACAATAAAATTATTAAGGTGGAATTTGCCTTGAACTACTTTAAATTTTGCTTCTTTGTAAACTCAGATCTGAGAAATTTGGTCAATCACTGTAAACTCATTTCTTTGTTAATGGTATGCAACACTGTCGAGAACAATGAAACAAACCGTAAAAATTCATTTAGTTTAATGACCCATATTGATTAAATAAAAAAACGACTTGTTAGGTCACTATTTGGGAGCAATTCTCTCCGCTGTTTCAGATGAGGCTATTTCCCCATGCATCCATTTCTGCAACATTTGTATGAAGCTTTTGGTTGATCCATTGGAACCATGTGACCTGCCTCATGGACCTGCGATTTGTCATCATCATGGGCACAATAAGTACATTAGGAAAGCACATGGATGAATGATCATTTCAGATTATAAAGATTGCATTTTTCAGAGTTCAGACCTTGAGGAAAGTGAGAGGACCATGTCTCTTCAGTTTCCCTGCTTCGACACCATCAAGGATGAACGGGACGGTCGGCGATGCACCGAAATATTTCTGCCCGGACCATGTCATTGCATGAACCCACTTCGAATTCCCTAACCGTCCGAAAAACACGAGTTTAGAACAAGGCACTAAAAGAAAAAAAAAATAAGGAAGAGTGTCTCACCAAGCCAGTTTCATATAAGATCATACTCCCCAGCCTATATAAGGACTTTGATGCCATCTTCAAGAAGAGAAGGAATGCCGACTTCGAAATTTCTTATCCAGTCCATATTCATAGCTTCGTACACGACGCTGCTGCAAGACATGAAATCTATGTCTCCGACCCAGAGTGCTTCCCTAACTGATTTCAGGTTCAGGAAAGTGTCGACGCCTGAGAAATAGTAGCACAAGCCGCCGTCGCACTGCTTTCTAATGTCGTAGTACTGAACAAATAATAACAAAGAAATGAAATTTGTAAGAATCTTAAACCATTTCTGCAATATCTATAATAACAAAAGATAAAAGTTTATGCTGTCTTAGATTTACATTACCAGCAACCCCCCATGATCTGATTGAATACATTGTTGCAGATTTCATAAGAATCAACACAAGCATCTCCACGATCAGTACCAGGAATGGTATTTGAAAATGAGTATCAATTTGCAAAGGAAAAAATATAGAGATATTGACATTAATCTTTTAGAGCTAAGAGGGAATACCACAGCTTTTAATTGCCTCCATGCATGATGGAACCGACTTCTTGATATTAACATAATCAGATTGTGAAATTAAACTCGAGTTCAAAGCATAATCTGGGTATGCTTGATATTGAATTCCAGGGTTCGTTAATCCGTTGCCGATGGCAAAACCCTGTTTCAACCATTCAAGTTTTAACTAAATGAAAAAAGTCCATATTCAAATGAGGCTTATATGAAGTTTCAGGTAATATGTACCTTAAGGTTAATATGAATTCCCTCTTTAGCTTTTATTTCCCTCCTGAACTCGAACTGCAAAAGCCGGAATGTAATGGCCGGCATACGATTCTCTGGTTATGTAAAAGTCATTCTAACATACTGAGGATGCTCCTTGAAAAAGGCCTGCAAGAAGTCATATAAATCGTTGCTGACACCGTTTTCATCGTGACGAATGTCGGTATCATCTGAAGTATAACTGAAACCGGTTCCTATCGGCTGATCTATGAACAGAATGTTCGATACCTACCAAGGGACAATAAAAATGTGATTTGATGAAAGGAGATATATATATATATCATGAGAGCAGGGTTTCAAAAAACGGTCTGCGACCGCGATTTCGTCCGCGCCGCTGTCCGAGTTACTCTCGACGGCCGTAATGGCGCCCGCGACAACCGCAATAGCGCCCGCGACGGCCGCAATCACGGTAAATCCGAAATAACCGAAAATGTGACCACGACCGCGATTTAAAACCCTGCATGAGAGTATCAAAGAAAATCATGGGATTTTATTAGATACCTTGTCCCAGCCATAGTCATTCCATAAAAGTGACAAGTTCTTAGCTAGATGGAAAGGACCATTTTCATAAAACAATGCCAATACACTGCTGCATCCAGGACCTCCAGTCAACCAAATCACTACAGGGTCTTTCTTGCTTCTCCGAGATTCGAAGAAAAAGTAAAACATCCTTTGAAATTTCGTGAACAAGATCGATAACCCAAAATCAGTTGCATGCAAAGATTTAATATACTTATTGTGTACACTGATATGCCCATCAGTTTCTGGATTGTTCATCCATCATTTTCAAACTTGCAATTTTGGTAGCAACATATAAGAACCATGACATACATACATACATAGGATTACCTAGCAGATTTAGAATGTGGAAGATTATAGTATCCAGCATGGTGAGCAAACTTGTCAAAAGGGGCAGGAGCACCAAGCAAAGGGAATCTAAATTGCCTTTCAGCAATCTTTGAATTCTCAGCCGTTAGGTCATTGGTACCTTAATTAGCATCATCTGCTGGGAACAAATTAAGTCCTCTTATGAGCTTTTGTGCTTGTAGTTTTGCCGGGGTGGAAATAGCCTTGGCCGAGATTGGTGAAACCAGCAAAAACAGATAAAGCAAAAGGAGTTTCTGAAAGGAAGTTGAGCCATGTTTTGTGGGAGATTGCTGCAAATTCTGTTTATTTGTTTGATTTATAATAGAGTCTAACGGACCCCACTTGGGACAGTGTCCATTGATTTTGCATGCTTCAAGTCTCTAATTTAACATTGTTATTTTAAAAAAAAATGTCTTTAAAAAATATCCAGACAAGTCTTTCTTTTTCTTTTACAAAGTATTATGAAAAACAAAATTGTTTTTAGGGAAATGTAATAATTTTTACTTTAAGAATATGCATTAAATGTTGTGAAGAAAAATGATGAACCTTTGGACCTATTTTAGTCTCAAGAATAATTAATTAGAGGCTATGATTATGGATAGTTTAAAATTATTAATAAGAGCATTAATAATTTACATAAACAGTGTGTTAATCATTTGTATGACATATTTTCTCATTAACAAACAAAGCTAATTTATTATATATAACTATAAAATACCCCACAACCCCCTCCCCCATTAACCCCTCTATTTCTCCAATGACTAGAATTGAATGATGGATTTCAAGAAAAACCTTTCTCCTTTTATAAAAATTCATGAATTAAGGAAATGGTAAAGAAAATGTTATCATCTTTTTAAGTAATCTAATTTTTATATTTATGTGTGGTGTGTGCGAGTTCATCTTTATTCAAAATTAGACACAAATATTACTTTATAATTATATTATAATCTTTAAAATATTATAAAAATTCATTTATTGAGTACACGAATCAACTTACCTCAACGGTTAAATGAATTATTGTTGTTCCTAAAAGTTATGGGTTCAAGCATTAACGACTTCTTACTATCAAATGGTTAAGAGTATTTAGAATAGATACTACTTTATAATAACCTTAGCTTAATTAAAAAAAAAGTTCATAAAAAGTTATTTTGTTTTCCTTGTGATTGTTAACCTCCTTTTCTTGTTTCAAAAACCTAATTATGTAACAGCTTTTCCCCCATTTCCTTTTTCTTTTTGGTCATCCAATGATGGAAATTGGGCTTTCAAGACAAGCTTATAACAACAATGTTGCTTACAATATATCAAAAACATAATAAGAAAAGAAAGTGTCATCATGGCCTAAACATGATCAAACATTTGGTTTCACTCAGTGTTTGGATGGAACAATGAAATGAAAAGGACATGCCCATAGGCAGGGATGGTCCGAAGGGGCGGGGCGGGACAATGTCGCTTCTTGAAAATTTAAAATTACTTTATATTTAGATTTTTTTCTATGTATTTCGACTCAAAATCTGTTTTCGTCTTCTTATAATTTTATAAGTTCAAGTTTGCCCCCAACATAAAATCATGTGTCCCTCCCTACCCATAGGTGGTTTCATAATCATACTTGACCCATGTTATTATTATTACTACTCCATTAGTTATATCCTAAAAATCCTTAAAAGGAAACTAGCAGTATAGTGAACGGCAACTTCGGAAACGTCAATAAAAAACATGGCTCAATTATGGAGAAATCTCATATATACACGAAAGTTAAATTACACTTTCCATTTTACTTTAGTTTTTTTATCATTCAATTTTCTAGCACTACACTAATGACGTGACACATTAACATAAATAAAGATTAATTATAATTTGATACAAACTTTGATAGACTTTGTTAGAATTGATGATGAACTCTGTGTCAACAAGAAACAGGTTAGCATCACATGACATATTCCGTGTAAGCTTTACTCAGCTGTTCACCTGATATTTTCAAGCCATACTTGAATCATTAGTTTCTTGTTTCTTGCACATGATACCCTGCAAGTATCCATTTAAGAACTAAGGAAGATCAAAGCTTCATTATACTAACAGTTCCAACATAAATTGTGTATCATTCTTTTGCCAGTCACGGTTATTAGCTTTCTGTTGTCCCCCTATCATCATACAAGTGCAAAAACCAGCTTCCAAAATAAATATGTATAGTTCTTAGACGGAATTAGACCATAGAATGCTTCCAGCAACTTAAATTTTCAAGATAAATACAACAAATTCCTAAAAGGGTTTCCCCAATATGGTTTATTATCGATCAATATATACCGTATTTCGACACATTGATTCTCCTCGTATAATACAGATCTTGCAGACAGGAATAGCTAATTAACAACTGTAGCAATTACACAATAATTGCTCCAATGTGCTGATTAATAGATATCCTGTTTGTAATACATTACACAGAAGGTTACTTTATTCGGGTGTTAAATTTGGGTTTGGACTGCAGCAAGTGCAATTGAACCCGGGGGAAGCTCATTAATCAGCCTGATCAACACTTCTAGGCAAAGGCAAAAGACTTGATTTAGGAGTTATGACCTAACTTTTGCAAGTCGAGCCCTTATTTCTTCTAGTTCTTCCTCGTCATCAACCCCTTCGGCTATAGCTTCTTCCTGTTAAGCATTAAAAGGAAAAGGAAAACAAATTGGACTCTTCGAATTTAATGAGAAAAATTCGCCAGAGGTACATTATAAAGCATTCAAGCCAAACATACCTCCTGTGCAGCAGCCTGAACTGGCTGCTTCATCTTCTCCTTCCTGACTGCTTCCGGAAGCTGTGCAGCTGTCTCACCAGCAATTGCTGTCAAAACCTTGTCAACTTCTTCTTCCGTCTCCTCTTCTATATCCTCGGAATCCAGTGCATTGTCAAGGGCATCATTGACAAACTCCTCAATAACACCTGCCTACATATTAAGGTAAAGAATAACTATCTGTTGTCTCGTTTAAGATAGCCGCCATACTCATCATCACATTAAAGAGATGGTTTAAGCAATCAGAGAATCCCCAACTATGTCAAAATTAGCAACGGAAACTCCAAGTAGCGAACAAAGCAAGAGGGGAGAACAACAGCTCAGACTGACGCCAATTACAGTAAAGGGCAATTATAAGACAATATTTTCCTTGATACTTAAATGATAAAAGTACTAAAGAAACCTTAGTCATCTCTTTGCTGAACTCTTGCATTGTGACAGCCACTTCTGGAGCCTTCATAAGGTTATTGACAAGCTTCATAACCTCAGCACTCTTGGACAAATGCCCAACTGTACGGGAGATTGCTGCAAAATTTTCAGAATTACAAACAAATTATTGAGAATGAATCAAGAAACAAGTAGTTCATCAAAAATTAGAACACATTGAGCAAATTAAGCACTTCAGATTGAATAAATTTAAAATGAAATACTAAAGAAAAACAAGCTACACAGGTTGATAATACTGTTCTTCCCATGATTAAAAGTGCATATAAGCAGAACAGAAATGTAAACTTAAATCTGTAAAACATCATACCAACACTTTCCCCAAGGTGCATTGATATTGAATTCAATTGTGCCTTGTTTCCGTATAGCCGATTGACTGTCCTTCTGGATCTCACAATCTCCATGGAAAGTGCCTGAAATAAAAGGAAAAAATGATTGTTTCAACTTCTCAGTCAAACAGTAAGAACTAAATGCAAGATCCAAATTTGCTACTAAAGAGCATAAAAGATTACAGTTTCAGAACATTCAACTTATAGATTTATGCAGTAAATCATTGACTTATTAAGTATGATTTATGTATGCATGAACACAAGAAGCACAATCAATGCAGTAAAAGAATAGAGCAAATAATTTCTTCTCGACTATTAGCAACTAAATTTAATTAAAAATAAAAGAATACAGCTTGATCAAAAAAATTAAAATGAAGTACCTTAGCAGAACCCATGTCGTTTCTCTTGGCAGCATCTCTAATAGCTTTCTGTACATTTTTCTCTTCTCTTTGAATATCTGAAGGGATAAATCAAGACACCATTTACCAATTATCAAATATTAACGCTAAGCCATCAATCCACAATTCCAACAAAATAATAGAAGAAGAAAAAGATAGGAACTTGCCTCGGATTTGGCGTTCGATGTTACGGCATTCCTGGCGGAGGCGACGCTGCCAATCCCTTAAGAGTTGTTGTGGATTGGGTTTTGGCTTTATTATATTCATCACCTTCTCCATTTTTCACTTCCAATTCGGATCGTGAGATCAAATTTCACACTCAAAAAAGAAATTATGTAACTTTGGCAACTTTTACGATAAATTTTATCCAAAAGATTTAGGATCTTTTTTTATCCTCTTTCGTTGTTAGATTGGAAATTTCATGATCGGAAAAGATCGCTTACCGGTCCATTTTTTTCTCGTGTAATTCCTAGATTTCTTATCATTTTCTTTAAAAGAATATATTTATGTTGGAGAAAGAATCAAGCAGGCCGAATTGCTGGCCCAAACGCAAACTTTTATCCCAAGTTTAAGTAGGGCTATAAATGAACAATTAATGAGTTATTCAAAATCGATTTTATCAAAATTCGATAAATACTTGAATTGAATTTAATTCGAGTTTGAGTTCGACTTGAATTCTTAACGAGCAAAATAAATTATTTGATACTCGACTCGAAAAAATCGTGAACACCTCAAAAAATATAATATATTAAGATTTTATTTTTTTAAAAATAAATTATCAATAATATTAATATTTTTGTGTTGATTTTTTTTAAATATATATATAAAGTTTTTCATATATTTAAGGTTTATGTTGGAGTTTGAGGTCTTCGAGTTATGTTTAAGATTTTTTTCATTTAGAGCTTTTTCGAGCTTTCGTTCATAATTTCGAGTTCGAGTCGAGTTTGAAAATTTTAGGTTCGCGAATTTTCAAGTTTAGTCGAGTCGAGACCCATTTCAGAGCTTTAGAGTCGAGTCGAGATCAATAATATTCGAGTTCGACTTAGCTCATTTATAGCCCTAAGCCTAACAATGGATTGTAATTTATAAAAAGTGTAAACTACCGTTTTAGTATCTAAACTTTTAATTTTTTTCAAAATCATACCTAATGTTTAGTTTTTGTTTCATTTTAGTACAAGTCGTTAAAAACTTAATGTGTTTGTACCTAAACTATCAGTTTTTGCCCATTTTAGTACCTAAACTGTAAAAAAAACTTAATGTTTAATTTTTAACGGGATACTAAAATGAAAAAATATTAAACTTTAGGTATAGTTTTAAAAATTGAAAGTTTAGGTACTAAAACAAACCAAAACTAATAGTTTAGATACTAAACACATAATTTACCCTTATAAAAATTGTTAACAATGCTATAAAAATAAATTTACTGTTATGAAATAAAGAAAATAAAGTATTGTGTGAAAAATAAAATAACAATAGAAATAGAATAATAAATATAAAATTTTATATTATTAATTTAAAATATGTAGAATTCCTCCTTTAAATTTTATATTTATAAATATAAAGAATAAATATTCAATCTGAATTAATTGATTAATAGATTGGACTATAAAAAAAATAAAAATTGTATATCTTAAAACATAATAAGATACTAAACTTTGCTAAATTTAAAGAGTAGATCTTACATCTAAACGTAGTGAAGTCTATAGACTAGGGATGAGCATTTAATTAAGTCGAGTCAAAAAATTAAGTTATTGAAGTTAACACATTTTATTTTATAGCTCAAATTTAACTTAAAAATATTTTAATTTATAGCTCAAATTTAAATTTAAATTTTTTTTAAGTCAGTCGAGTTGAATTAAACATTTATAATATTATAATATTATTTGATTCCAATTTAACTAGTTTTCTATAACCATATACATTATACAATACATATATGTATTTATATATTTTTTCACATACGATATACATATATCATGCAGAGTCGAATGATTCAACTCAAACTTAAATATCAATAAGCTAATTACTAAATTTTTCGAGTTATTCGAGTTGTATTTTATAACTTAATTTGAACTTAAATCTTTTTTAATCAAATTTATGAAATTATAATTCGAACTGAATTCGAGTTGAATCAAATAAAAAAATCAGTTTTTCAAGTCAAGTTCATCCTTACTATAGACTGTAACCCTATAGAAAGAATCATCCTTTCGCTTGTTTCGTTTTGTTTTTCTTTTAAACGAAAGAAAAATGAAGAGATATCGAGTACTCTTTACCTTCTCTTAAAAGTTACGAGACGAATGTAGAAATGGGGGGAAACTTAACCAGCATAGCATTTTAAGATGTAAATATTAGATCAAAAGGGGCAGCAGAAAACCCAGATTATATATGCACCAAATATTCAAATGAAAGATTAAAATAGTTCACCGAAAACTTAAAAGGAGCAATATAATACATGATACTAATCAAGATGAAGTGATGAACAATACGAGTTTTGAAACCGAGTTGTTAACACAATTTGTTGTCCAAGATAAAACCCAGTTTAACTCATCAACCTTTATTATCAAGCATCGCGCGCGGAGGACTCACAGGAACTTCCTGTATGGCCTACGATTATCTTCATCCTGCATATGCTGTAGGAAAATTTACCAAATCATTACAAATGCATAAAAGGAAAATAAAAATGAAAAAAGAAGAAGAAAAAAACACCTTACATCTCTATTGCAAGATGTGCTCGCAGAAAACACAAGACAAGAATCAAACATGATCTTGCAGCACAAAAATGGGAACCAACAACCGAAATTGTTAAATCAAATCCGCTGAATTAAAAGGAATTTGTAAGGGGCTTGGTTTCACCTACCAATACCTTCAATGTTAAAAATCAGATACCATAATAGATCAAACATTTACCATTTAAGTCCACATTCTGGTATTCTCCTATCACCTAAACACAATATTTCATGTTCCATGAACTGCCTTGAGAATTTTTTGTATCATTTTTCTCTATGCCCTGCTTCCTTGTTAAACTGTTCTATGGCTGACCAGTGAATTCCAAAGAATAGTTCACCAATGTTTCAAATAGTAACACTTCCATGGGAAGAATCCTATTGGCAACAATAGAATAAAAATGTTCTTATGTTCTGTCCTTCATGTGTTAAATAGTGCATTTTTTTGGTGTATTCTTGCTCCACAACACACTTCATTTATATGATTGGTGATTTTTTATGGGGATACGTATGTTAGGATAAAAAGAGAAGTCCATGTTAATATAAATCCATGTAAAAATTTACAAATTATGATCTACCACAAGTTCGAATAAATATAGTGCCAGTAAAAAAAGAACTTTCTTTTACACTATAATGCATTACCATTTTTTCTACCAACGCATAAGAAAATTTTAGAGCAGTAATGGCTAAAATCAAGCCAACCCTAGGATTTACTCCAAAAAAAAGTTTCAGTCAGGCAAAAATCAATGTTTAAAGCCCTTCTTCAAAATAAGAAACCCCAAGGAAAATAATTCAGAACCCAATAAACAGTAATCAATCGAAACGACAATGATTACAATGAAGCAGTCAGTCTTGACAAGAATCATACAGCCCCAAATCAATTTTAAAAATTATGGTCTACAAATGTAAGACGAAACATGGTGCCATAAAGAAGAAATGTCGTAGGGCACATCTATGTTGCATGGGGATGGCAGAGGAAGAGCGTTTCAAGTACTCGAAACGTTCCTGGCACGGGGACGGCCGGGGTACGTACTGGGGACGTGCCAGGCCGTCCCCGTGCCAGGAACATGCCACGGTGGCAGGGTACGACCGAACGATACAGGGACGTTTCGATGTTCACTGAGAATGTTTCGGGACGGCATTTACCTCAATCCATCGCACTGTGCCGTCCGTTTCTCCACCATTGCGAAAATCTTCAGCGGCCGTCGTAGCAGCCACCACCGACCGACCAAGTGATTCTCCTCTTTCCCTCCTCTCCTCCTTTTTTCTTCACTCTCTTCTCCTTCATTTTTTCGTTTGTTACCTGCTATGGTTGGACAAGATTTGCTGATTTGGGTTCATGGTTAAACATTGATGATGATGGATTACAAGATCACGACTTCATGGGACTTGAAATTCCCATGGATGATCTTTCTGACTTGAATATAATGGTTTGAGTTGCTTCTTTGTATAGTCTGGTTCATTATACCGTTGACAAACAAAAGGATAACCACTGTCAGCAAGAGATTACTGTTTTGTGGATAGTTGTTTGGCTGTCCGGTCCATAACTAGGTTACATATTGTTAGGAAATAAACCGAGTACAAGTAATTTCCCTATAACCAGATTAGTGAGAATGCGAAATAAAAGCGAAAAAATAATACCAAAATTGATAACGGAGTTCAGCCAATTTTGCTTACGTCTCCGGACTGCTGCAGATCTTTTACTAAGAGAGAAAATTTACAGGTGTTTACAAAACAATCACTACTCACAAGAAAGCTCTCTAGTATTGGGAGAAAGAAATAATTTTTGGGATTGTTTTGAAGCTAAATGAGCTAGGGTATTTATAGTTGAAACTTAGGGACTAATCTTTGAAAATACCTTACAGTGCAATGAATAAAGTGAATTTACTCATTCCTATTTTCAACAAACATCTACCAAACTTTACCAAACTTTGAAAAACATTTTTCAAAGAAACATTTACCAAACTTTGAAAACCATTTTCAAAGTTGGTTGCTAACCTTTGGACTTTTAACAATCTCCCACTTGAAGACTGATTTTAATCTGTCTTCACACCTCGATCGATGTAGCAGCATTTCTAGTCTTGTTATTCTTGCATGCCAACTGAAGCTGAACATAACTTCAGTTTGTCGTGGTCACCGTCTTTGTCAACATGTCTGCCGAATTTTGAGCTCCACTGATCTTTTCAAGTTTCAAAATCTCATCTTCCAGAAGAGACCGGATAAAATGATATCGCAATTGTATGTGCTTTGTCCTGAATGAAAAGACGGATTATTTGCTAGATGGATAACACTTTGACTGTCGCAATACAAGACATTGTTTTCTTGTTTCTTGCCTAACTCTTCCAAGAAACTTTGGAGTCAAACCATCTCCGTTCTAGCTTCCGTAACAGCGACATATTCTGCTTCAGTTGTGGAGAGAGCAACTATCTTCTGTAGTTGAGAAACCCAACTCACTGCAGTTCCTCCTAGAGTATAGACATACCCTGTAGTGCTCCTTCTGATGTCAATATTTCCGGCTAAGTCAGCATCTACATAGCCTGTCAATATTGTATCTCCACCTTTGAAACAAAGTGCTTTGTTTGTGGTACCTCACAGATATATGAGGATCCATTTGACTGCTTCCCAGTGTCCTTGCCCGGATTATTCATGTACCTGCTAACAGCTCCCACTGCTTGAGCAATATCTGGTCTGGTACAAACCATGCATACATTAGACTTCCAATTGCTGAGGCATACGACACCT